AGCATCAGTGGGTCAGTTCTTCAATTAAAAAATTGAATTTGATTTGTTGCTGTTTACGTTTAACAGTAGTGCTTATATTTTCATTTCTACTGTTGGCTGAGGAAGGCTTTATGCCGAAACGTCCTTTTTTTTTTCTTTTTTTTTTTTGTCCTGCTATCTTACTTCAAGCTTCCACATACCTCGTTTAGCTATTTCATTCATTTACTAAGCTTGAAAGCAGTCCATTAATTTAAGTTTATGTTTAGTAGCTTTCTTTTCATATTTATCTCTCTCTCTCTATATATATATATATATATATATATATAAATACATATAATTATATATAATTTAATATGTACATATGATTCTGCATACAAATCATGTATTTAATCCCCGGATAAGTTTGGCTATGGTTTTTTGGGTTTTTTTTTTTTTTTTTTTTTTTTTTTTTTTTTTTTTTTTTTTTTTTTTTTTTTTTTTTTTTTTTTTTTTTTTTTTTTTTTTTTTTTTTTTATTCTAGGTTTTTTTTTTTTTTTTTTTTTTTTTTTTTTTTTTTTTTTTTTTGTTTTTTTATGCTTGACTTTCGTAATTTAGCTGTCTTTTACTTTTTATTTTGATTTCCAAGTTTATTGTTTATGGACATTTTTCCTGGCCGATGAAAAGCTAAACTTGTGTTTCTTTTTTCTTTTTTTTTTACGACAAATGTTTTCATAAAAAGTCATGTATATGCATCTATGTAAAACGCGTTTCCTATTTCCTTCATTTTCCCCTTCAAAAATACATTTTATCATTTACTGCTTAGCTTAATACGTCACAAATAAGAAGCATTTAGGAGCAACTTTACAATTAATCTCCACACCAAAGCACGCACCCATCGAAAAAACTATTAACACCACACACCCCCACCCCTGAAAAAACAGGGGGGGGGGACAGGCGTTTAGGTGTGTAGGTTTGAAAGAATGTATCATCATCGGCAACAAGGCTATGTGCCAAATTTCAGTTCGATATATATATTGCAAACGCTGGAGACGACATAGGTTGCGAAAAGAACTTTGAAGAAGATTACAAGTCGGCCAGAAATTTGTTACTCTCTAAAAAAAAAAAGTTGTTTGAAATTGAAAAGTGACATCATCAGTTATCCTTTTTGTTGGTTGCCATAAAATGAGGGAGAGAGCGAGCACACACCTTCAGTCCCAATCCCTCACTCTTTCATATAGTGATCCAATGGCAAGACTATGTCAAGACGGACGAGGAGATGGGCCGCGATACATGGGATGCCCGTCAGAGTTGCGTCTCTTGTGTCCCCACCGTGTTCCGACTTCATTCCGCGTCGCAAACGTTGACGGATGTCTGTCTTATACGCGTGTCTTCCAGCGGCGTAGCGAGGGTGTTTGGCGCCCGGGGACAAGATTCGCGCCCGGGGACAAGCTCCATTTTTAGCGCCCCTTTTTCTTTTTTTTTCAACTCTCAAACCCATTATTTTCATCAATAAAATAATATCAAAGCACATTTTGGCGCCCCTCACTAGCTGGCGCCCGGGGACATCTGTCCCCCCCTTGCCCCCACCACGCTACGCCTCTGGTGTCTTCAACACCATCCATAATTTAGGAAGCGCTGCGCTAGAGTTTAATTTTCTATTTTTTTTAAAAAAGAAAATCATTACCTAGCCAGAGATATACAAAATTGTGTTTCTGACCACAAATTTAAAGCGTAACATTTTCAATATTTCATTCTTCATTTATTAATATATATATATTATATATATACGGTACACACCAAAAACACAATAATAAAACAGCCAGGCTCTCAATCAAAATGGCCATGCAGCACCACATGTTAAATCTACTGACCGGAACCATAAAAGTAAGCAACGAAAAGTATCGTTGCCAGGACAACGCCACGATTTTTAATGCCCCCCCTGAGCCAAGTCATAGTTTTCACTGTGTTATAATAAAAACTTTTTTTTTTTGTGTGGCATTATCTTTGGAAATAAAAACATTGCTCAAAAAGACCAGTCATGTCGGAGACTCGAAATGGTGCTCCTTCCCATTACCACAAACACCTCCGCCACCGACACCATACCCTCCTACGTGCGTGTGTACGTAAAACCATCCGGGCATGCTCAGTGTGTACACGGTCGCCCCGCTCGTCCCTGGACACGTGCATGCGTTGTACGCGTACCGGGTTCTGACCCTGTCCACTTGAACCCTGTCGGTCCACTGTCCGATGGACACCTGTTTGATGGAGCCGTGGGGGTGAGACACTATAACCGTGAGCCGCTCTTCCGGCCTCGACGATTTGTATCGGTTATACAACACGCTGCTGAGCTTATCGTAGCGCGTCACCAATCTCTTCAGGTGGCGCAGCAGTCTCCCGTCGTGGGTCAGATAGCGCAACCAGCATTTGTCTTCGGATATTTCCGACCCCACGACGTTCAGGCCACCAAGCACCGTACTCTGAGCCCCCTTGTAGTCGTAGTTTAGAGTACAAGTGGCGCCGTCCGCCTCGTGGTCATCGAAAATCATGTGATGCGCCGTTAGCACGTAGACCTGACCCCACTCCGTGATCTTTGCGCTGGACCGTTGACACGGTTTACACGGACAGATCTCATTCTTGATGAACTCCACGCGGCACACCCTTCCGGTGGCACTCCGACGCACTTTCGTCTGTCCTTGGAAAAGGTATCGGTCTTTTCCTCCTGGACAATATTTTGGCCTCTTATCGCTGACGTGAATGGCGTCCACCTTTACCGTCAGTGCGGCCAGCGTTTGAACCAGGTTGAAGACGTCATGGTCGTTTCGATATCGCCCTGGGAGGTGATCTAAGGTAAACTCCTGAATGGGTACGAAGCTTTTATGGCCTGGGTTCTTAGGACAGTATCTCGCGTAGTTTTCAAGAGATGTCTCTTCTTTTCGATAAACTTGTACTTCATGGATAACTAAGATTAGAATGTGTAATAAAAAAATTAATTAAATGCGAGCGAGTGATGATAAGGTTAGAGAGTATATCATTTAAACATTCCAGAAAGAGAGATATAATATATATTATTGTGCAACGTGTTTTCATGACAGTGACGTCAGGGTCTCAAAGCGAATACTATTTAATTTTGTTTCCGGGTTTTGCCGTTGCTGTAAGAGGGTGACAGTGGATATGACAGAGATTGTTTCAAAAAAATAAAAAATTAAAACATAAAAAAGAAAAAAGAAACATACACTACAAAATAAAAATTTGATCTTGCTTTGGGCAAAAAAAAAAAAAAAAAAGTTATCTTTTAGGTAGCGGTGTTAACTTTATAGGTAACACTGTAGGAACTAGCACAACTAACTCACTAAGGTTCGGCTATGGCGAGACACTGCGCCCCCCTCCCCGAAAACACTAACCACAAATATATATAAGTGCTTTTTTGGCACCGTGAAACCTGTAAATAACGAACCTAGAAATAGCGTTGTCAATGTCACATACACTAAATCGACCCAAAACGGACGCAGGTTGGGGGTAGGGGTCGGAGAGTGGACGACTGAGTTGTGGCACTGAGTTGTATTAAGATATGACAAGCACTTCGGGCTCATATCAGCAAGAAGCCAGTATAGAAGCTGCTCATTCCTGCCCAAGACAACCAGGGATTTTAACAAGCTTTCAAAAGGAGCAGTTGAGGCGACAACACTAGACTCATTTGTGTCTATTGCCTCAAGCCTTCAAACCCCCAGTGCATGATTCCCTCACAGAGTGGCACTGGAAATCAGTGAAATGTCCTCATCAACACAAGGCACAGAAACATTGCAAATCCCCTCTACATGCATAGGAGCCAAAATGATCAATAAATCGATCGTGGGCCCTTAATATATAGAAGAAGAAGAAGATACTGGCTGAAAAGATATAGAAGCGGTTTGTCAACTGTGGCTTTTCTTACTATCAATGTCAAGCTTTGAAGGGGTATTCGTTTCGCCTTTTTTTTTTGGTCTTACACATATTCGTACATATAAGACGACGCACTTCAAACCTACAATATGATCAGACATATTTGTACATATGATACGACACACTTCAAACCTAAAATAAACATGACATATATTTGTACATATAGGACGACACACTTCAAACCTACCAAGTAAATTCTTAGAGTTCCTTGTTCCCATTACACGTCACCATAAGGTTAACACTTTAGTCCAAGTCATATTGGACACTTCGTTCTGTTGAAAAATATAAAGTTATTTATAAGTACCTATGTAGACCTGGGCGCCTGCAGGATTTTTTCAAGGAAGTGTGTGTATGTGTACCCGGTAGGTTTGGGGGGGGGGGTTATATCAGTATTTTAGTCACGGCCGGGAGATTCATTTGGGAAATAAGTGATGTCATTAAAAACTTAGAGTACCACAATTAACTAGAGGACTCACGATAATGACACCATGTCTTGTATTATCTGACAGTTTCATCAGCCCTAACGACTTCTTTATTTCCCTTTCAACTGTGTTCACCTCGTAGTTTTGTCTTTCATCCATCCCTGTTTTTAAGTGAGTAAGCGCAAAGGGGAGGGCGGACCTCACCTAACATACATGGAACTTTTCTACCGGAAAAATACCTCATAGAGATTATTAATCATGTTCACCCCAAAAGCCTTTGCCAGAAATGAGGCCTTATCGTCGAAACCCTACACACATTTTCTTTCTGCACTGAGTAACGCCAATTCAGAATGAAAGCCGATATGCTCACCTGCCGTCCACTACTGCTTCTATTCTTTTTTTTTATTTTTGTTGCATGTGCGAGCGCACTGGCCAAAGCGAA